GAAGTGCTCGGACCGTCGTGAGCACGCCTCTCACGTTCTCGTCAAAACCCGCTGACATTTCTTGTATATATCTTAGTAATTTTACTATATTTTGATTCGATTCCTTGTGACATTTCGAGAGAAAACTTCAGGGAAACATGCGTGTCTCAAAAAGTTGCGCCGAAATAACTCAATTCCCCGTAATCACTAATAAACTTTAATGTCCCACGAGAGGGGACATCCGAGCGATATGCTAGAATTACGATGTCCCACGAGAGGGGACAGCGGAGTGCAAAGGGTTAATGCCGGTTACACGTAACAGAACGAGTTAAAAAATCCCGAGAAATCATGACGCTCGATTCTGATCGTTCCGTTTCAGTGTTCAGCGAAATGCGGATCGGGCATACAAACGCGCAAGGTGTTCTGCGGCACGTTCAGCGAGGAAACGGTGAAGAAGGTGCCGGATGAAAATTGCGACGCGAGCAAGAAGTTCAATGACACGAAAATCTGCACCGCCGAGGAGGAGTGCAAAGGCGATTGGTTCGCCGGCCCGTGGAGCGAGGTAAAGTATCCGTGGTTTCTGGACGCGTTCGAGCCCCCAGCATTCAGCATCTTTCCACGAAGAGATATTCGAGGATCGTTAGCCATCAATTTTCGTAGAGAGTCGCCGACAGGCCGCGAGGCTTGTCGCATCCGCGAGAAATCCGCGCGGCGTGTTCCCTCGGCCGGTCAAGAAATTCAATATCTTCGACGGCTTTGCGCCGAGAGACCCGGCAAGAAACGTCCGCCTCAAATTTCTTCCATTAATCACCTTACCGTCGCGTCCTGTGTTCCAGTGTTCGAAACCATGCGGCGGCGGCAGCATGGACCGCAAGGTGATTTGCATGAAGGACAACATGACGGCGGACTTGAAAAACTGCGACGCGAGCACGATCATGTTCGGCACCGAGGATTGCAACGAGCAACCGTGCGAAGACGGTACGGCTTTACCCTCGATCGCCAGATGCTGAAGGCGTTTCGGTGACAAATTAATTTCACGTAGACCCTCGCTAAGTCTTCGAACATTCTTTACCATCTTACGATCTTTACAATTTTGATAATTAACGGTGGTTCGTTCAGTTTTAGTCTATGAACCGTTCCCCGACTTCTGGCTTCCTTGGAAATTAATTTCCTGTTACAATTTGAACCATACTTTTATGTATAATAGTCTCGAACGTAGCAAATGGGCGAAGCATGTTACAGAGAAGCATTATCTCTGAGAGTGTGTTTTTTGCATAAGAAAAATATCCCTTATTTTGATCTACTTTAGAAACTTATTATTACCATGTAAAAATTCTGTATTCTTAATTCTTTTGCCGGCTGACGAATTTGCAAAGATTCAGAAAATTCGAAAGATACGGATGCGTGATATTTCTTCCATCGAATATATATATCTTTGAATATTTATATTTAATATTAATTTTTATTTACATTATTTTTATATTGTTTCCATATTCATGGAAATGTTTATTTATGTATACAAAATTAATGCGATCGTAATTCGAGTGTAGGTTAGTAGCACGATTTATTTGAATTGGTAATATAAACCTAGCTTACGACGTAGCTTACTTCGAACGTAGCTTTTTCAAAATTTTAACATAGCCTTTTCAAAATTTCAGCTTAGCCTTTTAAGCATTTTAAGATCATGATACAACTTTTTTTACAAAACACTCTACAGTTTAAATGGCTGATTTCGATGTACGAACGTTTCAATGTAAGCGAAAAGACCGGGACGTTCAAGCGGCAGGAATGATTGATTCAATTATGTCTCCAGACGAGGTGATACCGGTGCAGCCGGGGAAGATCAAAGATCTGACCGAGGAGGAGGACGACGACGAATGCGAAGTCTACGAAGACGAGGACTTCGTTACAGTTTCCTCGAGCCTGGCACCGAGCGTAAGTGAAACTCAGTTTCAGCTAATCGAATATCCGGAAACCGTCTCGCAACCGCCTCGCAACCGCTCGCCTTCTTGCTCTTATATTTGGAATTATTTTCGTGTAAATGGAATCGAATCATGCTGCCACCGGAAATTATTATACACGACCTCGATAAACTATAGAGTATCGGTGCCCGTCGATGCGCGGAGGAACTATCTACACCTCTTGCGAGCTCTGGAAATAGATCCTGCAATAATTCAGGCTTTGAACCTCGCATACCTAACGCTAAATTAGCAACAACTTTTGCCGAGTCACTGAATCCAGTTCTTTTTAACACGTTCCGTGCCACGTGTACCATCGATGGTACACGCTTGCATGTTTACTTAGTGAAATGAACAAATTGTTTACAAGAAATTTAGAACCGAAGAATCAATTTCCACCGCAAGAATGGGCGTTGATAAGTTTTTGTTACGTTGTTATGTGTACGAGAATTAATAATTGCACGTAATACATCAAGTTTTAGTAAAATATCAAAGTGTGAAGATTCGAGTAAAAAAAGCTCGGCACGGAACGTGTTAAGCCTTTCGATGCTGAAGAAATGAGACAGTATAGCAGCAGGAAAAGTCTATTGTTTATATTATTCTTATGTTTTTATACTATGTTCGTACTATACAAATATCGTCCAGATTATGTTACTCGTGCTTACATTGTATTAAGATTGCAAATTACATAAACATCATGACACATCAATTTTTTCATAAATACCGCGATCATTTGAACGATTAATTTCTGTTGCATTTTATTGGTTAATTAACGGATCGGCAGGTTTTATATTGGGTTGGCAACTAAGTAATTGCCGATTTCAGTTATAGATGTCTCTCACTCCCATTTTTATGATATCCGTAAATGTTATATTATAAAATTATTATTATTATTATTATTATGTTATTTAATATATATTAATATTATGTTATTATAATATTGGGTTGGCAACTAAGTAATTGCCGATTTCAGTTATAAATGTCTCTCACTCCCATTTTTATGATATCCGTAATTGTTATATCATAAAATTATTATTATTATTATTATTATTATTATTATTATGTTATTTAATATATATTAATATTATGTTATTATAATATTGGGTTGGCAACTAAGTAATTGCTGATTTCAGTTATAAATGTCTCTCACTCCCATTTTTATGATATCCGTAATTGTTATATCATAAAATTATTATTATTATGTTATTTTTTATTATCCGTGAATGTTAGCAACTGGACAAATTGAATGCAGCGGTCAAGGAAAAGCGACCAGAATTGGTGTCATTTTCCAGCAGGACAATGCTAGGCCGCACACGTCTTTGTCCACTCGGTAAAAATTGATGGATATTGGTTGGGAATTAATGTTACACCCACCATATAGTCCTGATCTCGCGTCATCGGATTACCACTTATTTCGATCCCTGGACAACTCCCTTCGTGGTAAAACTTTTAACGATGGTGACGCTGTAAAATCTCACTTAACTCAGTTTTTGGCCGGAAAGGATCAGACTTTCTACGAGCGTAGAATTTTCAAGTTGTCAGAGAGACGGCAAAAGGTCATCGAACAAAATGGAAAATACATTACAGATTAAACTTCGTTCCAAGTAAAAAAAAAATTTTTTATTTCATTGAACAAATCGGCAATTACTTAGTTGCCAACCCAACAAAATTGTATCGCGACATATTCGCGGCGAGTTGATAAATGATTGATAAAAGAATCGTCGTCTGTCGTTCGTTTAATTGCATGCAGTACGATATTTTCATCGAGCGGGAATTTTTTAAAATTGTGATTCAATATTCGAGCGTTAATAAATGCTGTGCCAGGCGTTCATCAAATTCCTGGTTCAATAATTGAGGTCTGTAAAGAACCTTTTGGACGGAATGTTTTGCATGCAGGAGGAAACATCGAACCAATCGGAGGACTTGACAGAGGCCACGCCGCTCAGTTCTCCGGATGGCGGCATGTCCAGCGGAAGCGACATGAACGACATACCGCTCGGCGATGCTCCTTACACCAGGGGCGACATATCACCCGGGGAAACCGGAAGCGGCGAGGGAAGCGGCACAGATTTCACAGATTTCCTCACAGGAGCTTACACACCCGAATTCGGGTCTACTTTCGAGGGCAGTGGAACGGAAATGACGACAGACGAGACCGGTGACTTCGCTACCGACTCAGGAGACACCGATTCCACCGATGAAACCGTGACGGAAGGAAGCACTGTATCCGGTGGTAAGTGAACGAACAGAGTAAGCGAAATTTGCATAAATTCGTCGATAGAACCCAAATGCTCACGAGTGTTATAGTAAATTCTCCCTAATTGACATTCAGCTCGGAAACGAAAGTGGACAAGGAGGTACGATTATTCGAGCCTCGCGGCTCGTTTTTGTAGTTGTTGGCAATCGGAAATTGTAAAAACGCTCGAATAATCGTATCATCTCTTCCCAAATTGTCCATTTTTTTGTACATGTCGAGGGTCAATTAGGGAGAGTTTACTGTACTTTGCAAAATGAGAGAATTTCAGTTTCTGTTTTAATATTTGGTCGAGTCGTAAAGAATCTCCGTTCTGGGATGTTTATGCATTTATGTAACAAGTAAATGGGAGAAAAATAAAACATTGAAAACGTTACAAGTATCGAGAAATATTTTTATATTATTTTTAAACTATTTGATTTACCAAGGAAAGAACATTCCTATTTTACTGTAGTTTGTCGTAATTGGGATAACGACTTTTATTTTGACAATGATGTAAATTATAATGTCAATACAATAACAGAAATGATTTATGTTTTGATGTAATAGTTAATATGGTATTCTAATATTTTTTCTAAAACTATTTTAAGCTATACAGGGTGTCCTCGGATCATTTGAAGCAACTTCTCCCTTTACAAAAATGTTCTCCGAGTCACCGTTAACGAGTTATTAACGAAAATCAGTGACCAATAAGAATCGAGTACGGCTGACGCGAGGCGGCCAAACCAACCAGCGCACGAAGTCCAGTTCCGCCTCGCGCCAGCTGAGCTCGTCTCTCATTGGTCACTGTTTTTCGTTAATAACTCGTTAACGGTGCCTCGGAGAAAATTTTTGTAAAGGAAAAAGTTGCTTCAAATGGCCTGAGTAACCCGCCACTTTCGGATTGCGAGACATTTTTGAGACACCCTGTATTATACTTCGTGTTTGACTGTTTTTCTTAACATTTTTGAGGCATTACAAATGCGAGAGATCGGTAGATTGCGATATATAATGAAATTATCAGTAAATTTTGTTTGTTCCGCAGAAACCGAAGTTACCGAAACGAACGAAAGCGGTGCAACGGATGCAACAACACCGAAAACCAGCGGCGAAACATCGGAGATGCCAGAAACCACAGATTCTTCGGCAACAGACGCAACTCCAGCTTCTGGAGAAACTACAGAATCAGGCCCGACCACTATCACATCCGAAACTGAAAGCACTGTTACAGGAGAAACTGGTAAGTGAAAATTCATTCGCTTACGCAACCTCGTTAACACTTTGACTGTCAATTCACCCCAAAAGTTCCATAAAATTAAAATAATTTACTCAATAAAATGGAATTTCAGTCTCTTTATACTTTTTTGTATTTTGGTTGATCTTCATCAACTTAGTAAACAGTATATATTGTTACGAAAATACATTTTTATAATTCAGAGAAATAACACTTCGCAGATTTTTATTTCATAACTATTTAAAACCGTATAGGGCATTCTTCGAAAATGATCAAAATCTTATTCAAGGAATTATCGTAATTCAATTATATTCAATCTTGATATTTTTACACGGTCAGGTATACCAGCCAATGACTGTATCGAATACAATATCCACTGACCGAGGTGAAACTTTTATTCTCTAACTTATTAGAACTGATAATGAAGTCATCATTTGCACAAAACAATCTTTACGCTGTTACGTGCATACAAAATGTGCTGTCTGGTCAATCTTTGAGCTAGACAAATTTTTCAGCATGTTTTCTAAAGGCATAACGCGTGGAGATGTACTTTAATTTTGTTACGTAAAAATTCTATCCAGAAGAGACGACATCACCCGGGACCATAGAATCCGGCGCCACCGAAGAAACCACCGAATCTGGACCAACCGAATCGACAGTGTCGACAGAATCCCCCGAGACCACCGAATCTGGAGCGACCACAGAGTCTGGACCTACCGAAGTCACCGAAAGCACCGAATCGGGAGCAACGACTGAAACTACTGAATCTGGGATGACCGAGACTACCGAATCTGGTCAGACAACAGAATCTGGTCAGACAACAGAATCTGGCCAGACAACAGAATCTGGCCAGACAACAGAATCTGGCCAGACAACAGAATCTGGTCAGACAACAGAATCTGGAGAGACTACCGAGTCTGGAATGACCACCGAGTCCGGAATGACCACCGAGTCCGGAATGACCACTGAATCTGGAATGTCCACTGAATCTGGAATGACCACCGAATCTGGTATGACCACTGAATCCGGAATGAGCACTGAATCTGGTGAGACTACCGAGTCTGGAATGACTACTGAGTCTGGTCAAACCACCGAATCTGGTGAGACTACTGAGTCTGGAATGACCACTGAATCTGGAATGACCACTGAGTCCGGAATGACCACTGAATCTGGAATGACCACTGAATCTGGAATGACCACTGAATCTGGGATGACCACCGAATCTGGAGCAACGACAGAGTCTGGAGCAACGACAGAGTCTGGAGAAACTACAGAATCTGGAGCAACGACAGAATCTGGAGCAACGACAGAATCTGGAGCAACGTCAGAGTCTGGGGAAACCACAGAGTCTGGAGCAACGTCAGAGTCTGGAGCAACGTCAGAGTCTGGAGCAACGTCAGAGTCTGGAGCAACGTCAGAGTCTGGGGAAACCACAGAGTCTGGAGGAACGACCGAGTCTGGAGAGACGACAGAGTCCGGTGCTACCACTGAATCAGGCGCCACTGACGTTACCGAGTCCACCGTTTCCGGTTTGACACCGTCCACGGAAGAAGAGGACAACGTAACAACACCTGGTGAGTGTCTCGAGATTCTATTTTTTGGATCTGCTAGCTGAAGAAGAATATCTCTATTCATTTTCCTTGTTAGACTATGATCGCTTCCGTCGAACCCAATAGCCTAGAAAGACTAAACGACCGGTCACAGAGTATGCAAAATTCGCAGTTCGAAACACACTTTATTTTGTCTCTAGCATCCGAACTGTGGACAACCATAATCGATATAGTAACCAGCAAGCACCGCGTCTGCAAAGTATTGAAAAAGAAAGCCTGCAAGACGAAACCATTCGGTTGCTGTTACGACGGGATCACGCCAGCCAAAGGACCGTTCGGTCAAGGTTGCCCGACGCCGAAGACCTGCAACGAGACCAAATATGGCTGCTGCTCCGACGGCGTCTCGCCAGCCGCTGGTCCAGATAACAGAGGATGCCCAGAATCGCATTGCTCCGAGACTTTGTTCGGTTGTTGTCCCGACGGAGTCACCGCTGCCGAAGGAAACGACCTTGAAGGATGTAAGAAACCTTGCAACCAGACCGAGTGAGTGTCCATATCAATAACGATAGCGTCGCATCGACCCGACTATTGATCATAATTTATTGATTTTTTTCATCGGAGAAGAATGCCGATGTTTAATAATAAAATAACTATACTAAATAAATAATAGAATATAAAATAAATAAATAAATAATAGAATATAATAATAAAATAACTAACTAAATAAAATAATGAATAACTTCTACATTGAATTGTTCAAGGTTTGGTTGCTGCCCCGACAAGGAGACTCCAGCCAGTGGCAAGGACAACATGGGATGTTGCAACGTCACCGAATTCGGCTGCTGTCCCGATGGAATCGAACCAGCTTCTGGACCAGACGGAGCGGGTACGTTTTGGAACGATTTTCTAGTTTCCGTTTTCTCTCGTTATTTACGAAGAGTCGATCGTTCCGCTAATTACTAATTGTAGGCTGCGAGGAGGAAGTTACCGAAGGTCCTGCCACGGATGGTCCTACCACCGCTGTGTTGGAAGACTGCGCGAACACAGTTTATGGTTGTTGCCCCGACGGATCTTCTACCGCAGTCGGAACGAACTTCGACGGGTGTGGAGTCATCAACGCTGAAAATTGCACTGCTTCGTACTTTGGTTGCTGCCCTAATAGTACGACTCCAGGTGCGTTTGCAAATTAACAATAAGAATGCCCAAGGAAGTCATTTTTTGACTGTTTTTTAATTTCAATTAGAAAAAGAATTATGTGTATAATGATACAATTTCTTAGAATTTTGTGACTTTTTGTACAACATATAAATGCGGTTATTAATAATTGTAGTTACCTCCCCCCCCCTTCATTTCTGGTATATATATGTGTTATACCTATATTGCCCAAAAGCAGTCGTTTTGACTGCTTGGGAAATTTAAAATAATCAAATGACTCTTATTATTGAATTGAGTAAATTTCTTATATGACCGGTTCGGCTCTGTATTGAAATAACATTTTTCATTTTTTTCGATTACCGTTACATGATAACATACAAGTAGATGATAAATTGTCGATTTGGGCATATACTAGATAAGTTGCAGTTGCTCGTTATTCGTATCTTAAATTTTGTTTATTGTTAATATTTACTAATAACCTGTTATATAACTGTGAATAATATAAAAAAATATTGAAAATTAATTTTAAACAAATTTCTTTACACATTATTTATTCTTTCACAATGCAGTCATTTGGACTGCTTTTGGGCAATATAGGTATATATACTAAGTTTCAGCCTTTCTAGTGTTAACGATAAAACTGTACCAGCGAATTAATAATTTAAGACACCGAGGTTCACACAGGGTTGAAAATGATTCGTGAATTTGAATGGTTCCAGCTTCGGGACCGAACAATTACGGCTGCCACAAGCCGTGCGAAAACACCAGTTACGGTTGTTGCGAGGACAACGTCACCCCCGCGCACGGACCGAACGGCGAGGGTTGTTGCTTGTCAACGCAGTACAAGTGCTGTCCCGATAACATTCTTCCTGCTCGCGGGCCAAACTTCTACGGTTGCGGATGCCAGTACGCCAGATTCGGCTGTTGCCCGGATAATTCCACCGCAGCACGTGGCCCGAACAACGAAGGGTGCGGATGCAAATATACTCCGAATGGTTGTTGCCCCAATCGATTCACGCCTGCCACTGGACCGAACTACGAGGGTTGTCCTTGCTACACTTATCAGTTTGGCTGCTGTTCCGACGGTGTCAGTATCGCCAAAGGACCCCGAGGACAAGGTACTCTGTTACTGTGAAATTATAAAACCATCACTCACGAGTTCTCACTATAGTGGCTTTCGCGGATGTCATCTTTCAGAACGACGCGCCACTATAGAGGCTTTCACGGATATCATCTCTTTGAACGACGCGTCACTATAGTTGCTTTCGCGGATATCATCTCTCTGAACGAGACGCTACTATAGTGGTTTTCGCGGATGTCATCTCTCTGAACTACGCGCCACTATAGTGGCTTTCGCGGATGTCATCTTTCAGAACGACGCGCCACTATAGAAGCTTTCGCGGATATCATCTCTCTGAACGACGCGCCATTATAGTGGCTTTCGCGGATATCATCTCTCTGAACTACGCGCCACTATAGTGGCTTTCGCGGATATCATCTCTCTGAACGACGCGCCACTATAGTGGCTTTCGCGGATATCATCTCTCTGAACGAGTCGCCACTATAGTGGCTTCCGCGGATGTCATCTCTCTGAACGACGCGCCACTATAGAGGCTTTCGCGGATGTTATCTCTCTGAACGACGCGCCACTACAGTGGCTTGCTCCTGTCTCTTATACACATCTAGATGTGTATAAGAGACAGCTACAGGGTGTCCCAAAAATGTCTCGCAATCCGAAAGTGGCGGGTTCTTCATTTCATTCGAAGCAACTTTTTCCTTTACAAAAATTTTCTCCGAGGCACCGTTAACAAGTTATTAACGAAAAACAACAACCCTGTCTCTTATACACATCTAGATGTGTATAAGAGACAGCTACAGGGTGTCCCAAAAATGTCTCGCAATCCGAAAGTGGCGGGTTCTTCATTTCATTCGAAGCAACTTTTTCCTTTACAAAAATTTTCTCCGAGGCACCGTTAACAAGTTATTAACGAAAAACAACAACCCTGTCTCTTATACACATCTAGATGTGTATAAGAGACAGGGTTGTTGTTTTTCGTTAATAACTTGTTAACGGTGCCTCGGAGAAAATTTTTGTAAAGGAAAAAGTTGCTTCGAATGAAATGAAGAACCCGCCACTTTCGGATTGCGAGACATTTTTGGGACACCCTGTAGGGGCTTGCTCTAGTAGTTCATTCGCTCCCTGTTTGAATGAAATAATCATCTTCCTATGAATTGATTCACATTTCTTTTGTCCTCACATCGATTTTCGATAGTGTTAACAATATACAGACGGAATACATTCAGTATCAGACACTGTACAGTACATATCAGAATCTGCCGTCCAGGGAAATAGCCTCGCGCAGAATTCAGCCGTACCTAAAAGGTTAAAAAGAATATCTTCGGAGGAAGATATTCGAGGTTTTTTTTCTATTATGCTTACCGAGGTTCTCAAATAATTGTACATTTTTAATTTAATTCAGTTAGCATATATATATATAATTGAGGAGTTCTAAGGAATAAGAGCGTTTTTGGCAACATCTAGTTGTAAGATATTCGATTTTGAACTTTTTTTTTATGTTTTATATCCAATTATCGCGCTGCAAGGTTGACAATTTATTGACATATACAGTCTAATCTGTAAATTCTAAGAATACAAGAGAAGGAAACAAAGTATTACCACTAACTGAACCTTCATTTTTATGATGCACATTGGCAACGTAAAATTCTCCAAAGCATTGAGATTCGTCCGGAAAGGAGTGCTTAATTTTTGGTACGATTTAAATGATTCTTGCCGAAGAACACACGGCGGCACAAAAATAGAATTTCGTGGTAAACTGTCCTTCTAAATAGATTCTCCGAAATCGTTAAAAAATTTCAAGTTCCATGAGATGAAATTTGTACATATTTGTACATATTATTTGCACGTATCTGTACGTACTTGTGCATCGTAAGCTGAAGTCAGCTTTTGAATGACGTTCGATTTTCCGGGCAGGTTGCGGATGCGAAAACACGGAGTTCAAGTGTTGCTCCGACGGCAAAACGCCAGCGAAGGGACCAAACTTTGCAGGATGTGCCTGTGATGCTTCGAAGTACGGCTGCTGTACGGACGGAGTCGAGGAAGCTCAAGGGGAGAACTTCGAGGGCTGTCTCTCGGTACCATCGAACCCTGGAGCGGACTGCGCGTTGGACAAAGACAGAGGCTCCTGCCGGAACTTCACTGTCAAGTGGTACTTCAGCACCGAGTACGGCGGTTGCTCACGTTTCTGGTACGGAGGCTGCGGAGGTAACGAGAATCGATTCAAGACTCAGGAGGAGTGCAAGGAGGTGTGCGTTCAGCCCAAAGGAAAAGGTAAATCAACTGTAAATACCATCTATGAGGAACAACGATCTTTCAGGACTGACTAATTACCGGATGAGTTTCTCGCAAGCGAACGCAATCAAATGTAACACGCTTTAGTATGACATAGTCTGTCGACAAGTATTTGAGCCGTTTATTTTGAAAGTGGCCCAAGTCATTTTTCAAAAACACCGAGCTAGCTATTTTAATATTCACATTTCTACGTTATACATATAATTTCATGTCAGCAAAGCTGAAAGAACGCAGCGACCCTTAGGAACACGAAAACATTATATCACCATGTTATCAATTAGCAATATTTTTAAATTTATTGAAACGTAAAAACCTTAAATATCTGGATTTTCAAATAAATGGACTTATAGGCCACTTTCAAAATGAACGGCTCATTTTACGCTTAATTTTCGTGTTTACAACGATCCATATCCAAGGAGTGAAAACAGTACCAAAACCATATTTCTTTAGATATCTCGCGAGGGTACAGAACACAGAAAATTTGTTAAAAAATTTTCCGTGTTTTGAGCATTCTTTCGTTTTCTATTCGATAACGTAAACTCCGAATAAAATTGCATCGATATCGGCGTGTGTTACGCTTGCATGTGTTCCCTTGTTAGACTAACAGCAAACTTAGAATTTCTGTTTTATCTTGCTGATTTTATGCGATAGTTTCGTTGACAATCGAATGTTGCAGACGCCTGCTACCTACCGCAGATTCCAGGACCTTGCGAAGGCTATTTCCCTACGTGGTACTATGACACCGACAGGAAGCGGTGCAGTCAGTTTATTTATGGAGGCTGTCTCGGAAATGCGAACAAGTTTAAGACGAGAGAAGAGTGCGAGGAGCTTTGCGTTGTTCCCGATGATCTTGGCAAGTATTTTAATCTAGTCACCATCCTAATTTTTTTTTACTTCTGTTTGAGAAGTATCGCAGTTTGCATCCAACGAAGCCTCGCTTCATAATATTGGGTTGTCCGGAAAGTTCGTGCCGATTTTTTAGGAAAATTAAAACGCAGCTCATTTAAATATTGGAGCCAAGCTTCACAGTATGATCGTGGGTGGTTGATTTTGATTTATTTAGCATTCCTGCTAATTGACGTAATGTTGAGCGTGGGTTATTCTCGATTCTATCAGGTACTCCTTCCAGATGCGTTAGTTCTTTTATAAATTTTAACGAAACACGCAAAAATTATAATATTTAATAATAATATTATATTATGTAATATTTAATAATAATATTTAATAATAATATTATATTATGTAATATTTAATAATAATATTATATTACATAATATTAATTATTAATATTATATTAGCTATAACGTTATTCTATTTTATAATATTTAATTGTAATATTTAAATGACAATTTGTCGACAAACGGGTCCAAATGGACCCCCCAAATGGACCCGGCCTACCTGGGCGTTCTTGACCTTCAAGGTCGAAATTTCCAGCTTTAAACCGAGCAAACCACTTTCGCACAGTTCTTTCGGCTACAGCATTCTCGCCATAAACAGCGCATATCTTATTTGCCGCTTGTGTGGCATTTTTGCCCTTTCGGAAAGAGAAAAGCATTAAATGCCTATAATGCACTTTATTTGCCACCATATTCTAAGGCGTACAAAACTGATAAAAATTAACGAATCGCAACCAAACTTTTTTCCAAATATGGCTGAAGTTATTTCTTTTAGAATATGTACACATGCCATTTGTTTTCAATAATTGTGATATATTCGGTCAGGTCTCTCACGCTACCTACCGAAAATCGGCACGAACTTTCCGGACAACCCAATAGAAATATTAAAACAACTGGGGTAATCGCAAATTGCACTTGTAAGCAAGCGAAAATTACATAAATGAGTTCACTCGCGTTTGAAATAAAAATACTAATTGACAACGTTTTATTCGATTCAAATGATTCGAGTATTTCAAGTTAACGAGAGAACTTACCTCTTGTTTCTCTCTCTTTTCCTAATCGAATAGAATTTTCTTCAAGCCTCCAATAATGTTCTTTTTTTCAACTACATTATACAGTTGTCAGTGTTTCAGTATTCTTTTCAATTTATTTACTACTGTTTCAAACGTATCTTTTAAAATATTCTTATTGTTCTTAGCGGGGCAAGTAAGAATTTTCATTACCACTCGGACAGCGTGCTCGGGTCCATTTGGACCCGTTTGTCGACAAATTGTCATTTAAATATTACAATTAAATATTATAAAATAGAATAACGTTATAGCTAATATAATATTAATAATTAATATTATGTAATATAATATTATTATTAAATATTACATAATATAATATTATTATTAAATATTATAATTTTTGCGTGTTTCGTTAAAATTTATAAAAGAACTAACGCATCTGGAAGGAGTACCTGACAGAATTTATTGAAAAAATTCGATAAATAAGAAGAAACCGAGTAGTTGATCGGCGATTTTGATAGTGTAACAAGTTAATGTTTATTCTCATGCGGATTTTCAAGGATTAATTAAATATCAGGAAGTTAATTAATCGTTTTATCAAAGATCCTTGCGAGCAGCCGAAGGAAGTAGGACCCTGTCAAGGAAACTTCACAAGATGGTTCTACAACGCGGACTCCGAAGCCTGCGAGCAATTCAAATATGGCGGCTGCAAAGGAAACGACAACAACTTTGCTACAGAGATTGCCTGCCATCAGCAATGCTTGCAACGGAAAGGAGCAAAAGGTACGTCTCTGTGAAACATATTTATCAATCTTTCGTAATACGATGCTCGTTCCTTTTTTTTTTTGCCTGAATCCTTGATTTCATTAGGTGTATTTCTCATCACCTTTGAACCATCGAATAGTCCCATAAACAATTTTCATACGACAAGATTCATTAGTCGGATTTTGATAAAGAAACACTGTACCGTCACACAGATTGAGTAGACCGTTATGAATTAGACTAATCGGCCGCGTGATTATTCGTGGATCTATGCGGATCGCCGTCGATGGTATTTATGGAGGGATTAATATTTATGGGAGAGATTATTGCCTAACACATCGTGATAAGAAACACAGTACAAATAAGTTAGTTTCGTTCTAGAACTTAAATGCGGGCGACAATAATGTTAATAATTATTTCTTAGAAAAGTTTAACAGGGGAAATCGAGTTACTGGTTTATGGGAACAGCTGCTATAATAATGGGGGTAGAATTTGGGGTTCACGCAGGTTCTTCGAATCGAAGGGGTGTTTTCGGAAGGAAGGACGTTTGAAGTTATCATAATCTTTGAAGTATTGGTTCGTGAATTCATTCTTAATTCATATTTCTTTTGAATATTTAAAAATTATTCTATTGTGTTAATTCACGGTACTATAATACGAAAAATCCTCAAGATTTTATACATTTCAAAGTTAATTACAATTCAATGCAGTTTCACTGTATTTTTCATTCGTCGAATCCAAGGTCAGAGTTCACTGCAACTTTTGTTTTCGACCAGTTGTCTCTAAGAATGCGAATTTACGGAAGGTTCAACGTCTCCGTTATTACGATGATACACTTCGTTCAGAAGCGCACCTTTGTCTCGAACTCTCATTAACAACAATATAAAACCGTCGAACAAATTGCTCCGTTTCGAAAAATCGCTTGGTCACAGTCAGTTTCGGCGGAACAAGAGTTTTCGTTATCGGCTGTCCTGAAATATATCGCATGTTTCTAAAATACGCTTGAGAAACACTCGTGCAACAGATATCTTTAATTATTGTCTGCTTATACTTCTTGAAAACGTAAATATCGTTCTATAATATAGCGCCTCGTTTAGTGCAATAATTTATACAACAATATATACAATATATACAATAATCCAGTGCAATTTAACTGATGCAATCATTATGGTGCATCAAAGTCTACAGTCCACTCATAGCTTTGTTTATTTCATCTGAAAAACATCGTGAAAGCAAGCAAAGTGCAACAACATTTTTATACGAATTTTCAAACAGGAAAATGTAAAATGTACGCAACGTTGATTCGAGTTATTTTACAGATAAAGCAAGAATTTTAGACAAATGATTCATCGGTTCTAAAAGTCCTGATTTTTATTTTAAAAAGGTCTCGCGTTTATTAGTTACTTCTATTGTTTCGATTTAAAATAAATTTATTTAATTTTCGTGTTAACGATGCCTGATCCGTTGTTCCATTTCTCTGATAACTCATTAACGACGAAGAAGTTATAATTAAGGTACAAGTGAAAACTATACCTGTTGTACAAAGACTGCAATTTATTTCCGGGCAGCCGAATAAGACATGGCGGTGCTGGGTTGAAAATTTGGTAATACGTAAAACATATTTGCAGTAAAACCGAGGGACGTGTGCGTCCTGGAGAAAGACCCCGGACCCTGTCCGGGCTCGGTGTTGCGCTGGTATTATGACGCCGAGCGTCACACGTGTAGCCAATTTGTTTACGGGGGTTGCAAAGGCAACGGGAATAGGTTCCGTACGCGTGCTGCCTGCGAGCAGCGCTGTCCCGTAACAGGTATCGAAACTCAGCCAAAGAATCGGCGAAATGTCAAAATATAATAGGACAACAGTGGGAAAGTGATTGAATTTTGTAAGAGTACAAAGCTTCGCTGCTTCCGCGAATAACAAAAGCGCAATCCGTTGCTCGGTGCCCGTAAAAATCGAGGGACAAGTCTCTCGCGCGTGGGCGGTGACGAACGGAGACCGTTTTCCAAGTACTTATCGGTGGTGGTACATTTTCCGTTGATTTTTTTGTTCGCTGAGCGCACGCCTTACGCGAAGCACCCCACGTTGTTTTCCGATTCGATGTTGTTCTTCTGCAGCGCTTTACGCGGCACACGATGTTGTTACCTTTCACGCACAGCACACGTTAATTAGTCACATTGCAATTCACGCTGACACACCTGTAGCCATTAGACTGCGGATCTTCGTGCGATACACAGAGTGTCCCAAAAATGTCTCGCAATCCGAAAGTGGCGGGTTCCTCGGGTCATTTGAAGCAACTTTTTCCTTTACTAAAATTTTCTCCGAAGCACCGTTAGCGAGTTATTAACGAAAAACAGTGACCAATGAGAGGCGAGATCAGCTGCCGCGAGGTGGCCGAGCCAGTTCAGCTGGTGTGAGTCGGCCGAGCCGACGGCGCCAGCGGTCGAGCGGTCGAATCCCAGCTCAGCTGGCGCGAGGCGGCCGAGCCAGCGGCGCCAGCGGTCGAGACGGTCGAATCCCAGTTCAGCAGGCGCGAGGCGACCGAGCCGCCTCGCGTCAGCCGTACTCGATTCTTATTGGTCACTGCTTTTTCGTTAATAACTCGTTAACGGGGCCTCGGAGAAAATTTTGGTAAAGGAAAAAGTTGGTTCAAATGATCCGAGGAACCCGCCATTTCCGGATTGCGAGACATTTTTGGGACACCCTGTATAAATGTTCAGTTGTTAATCCTTAACCGGTACGCTGGGAATAAAGTACAATTGATGGTTTACCTAGAATTTGACTGTGATAGTTTTAACGGATGTATCTACATTACACAACACATTTTCGTGAAAGGTAAAAAGTAATATACGTATAAACAAGGTGCCAGAAGTGGTGCTCAAAAAACAACAGGACATATGTAGCGTGGATCGTATACAAAAAATAAGACAATCATATGAGCCGTTTATTTTGAAAGTGGCACAAGTCACTTTTTTTTTTTAAATGAAAAGATACCGTTCAATTGTAAGTAGAGTTACCATTAACTCGATTTTTTTGAAAATGTGACTTATGCCACTTTCAAAATAAACGGCTCATATTTAGACACTTTTTATTTGAAATGAATCACGACCACGATACACCGTTTATTCTTGTGAAAATTATCGTACCAGTTAAGGGATTGAACGATGCGATGAAAAATATACGACACGATTGGTATCGACAAGAATGCAACATTGAGCCGACGTTGACGGTGTTAACGTCGCGAGATTTTCTTTCGTCATGTAAAATCCGCAGTCTGCTATTTACACATCTGCGACACACGTATAAAGTTCTGATTAGTGTCAGATCAATATCGACGCAAATATTCGAAGCAATACTATTCCAGAACACATTTAGGATGCAAAATTTAACGCTTTTATTTTCAGGAGTGGAGGATAATAATGTTGATTTGATTGTAATCAGAGTATACTAGAGGTGTCAATCATTCGCTGTTTACTTATCAATGGAATTTAAAAGCAGATCGGATAGTAATTGTAACGTGGAACAGCGAATGGTTGAAACCACGTGTAGAATCGCTAACTTCGCATGATACGATAATTAATGCGATTAACAGATAGTTGCTTGCTGCCCCGGGCTGAGGGGAACTGCGGTGAGAAGCAACCACGTTGGTTCTTCGATCAGTCGGAGAACCAGTGCATGCCATTCTATTATACCGGTTGCGGTGGAAATAAAAATAATTTCGAATCTAGAGATGCATGCGAGTCCGATTGCCCGGCACGGATCGGTAAGACCATGAACACTACTTTTAACGAACAGAATAACAGCCTACGCGTAATGCATTAGATCTCTCGGTAAAACAGTTGCAATTTGTGCATTAACACTCTCCGTAGCACGAATCTTTGCCATTCGAGTATCACGAATAAGTTCAAAGCTATCTGCACGTCGCGACGTTTGATCTAGCCTGATGCTGCGTTTTAATGTGCACACAAATTTTTTCTATTCTGCCCGGGACAAGAACGCTCGAGCTATATTTTCTCGAGCCTTGCTATTTCCAAGTTTCGTCACGCGAAAGTTTCGTTTAGCTCTGCTTTCGATGTTCGGAAACGAGACGCGGGAGGTGAAGTTGCTGCCAGCGTCGAAATCGATCCATTTTTTTTAGTCGTTTTAGCAAGGTCCGTGGAATTTCAACAATTGCAAATAATTGCAACCACTTATACACAGTACAATTAAGTATAGACTAGTCAATAATAGTCAATAATTAATTAATTGCGAACTATTCACGATTACAGTAAGATACATTGATAATTCTGCAAATAAATGCGTCGAAGCGACAGGTTTACTTAAACTGAGTTCACAGAATCGAAGTTTCGGTGCAACTTGTTTCGACACTGGTAGCATTTTCGGCTTCCGCAGTCCAACGTTGAATTACGGGCACAATTTGATGCTGATCTCGTTTCGAATGTAGAGCAAGACTCGTGTCTTTTGCCCGCGCTTACGGGAGAATGCCACAACTACGTTCATCGTTGGTACTACGACACTTACGAGCAACAATGTAGACAATTCTACTATGGCGGCTGTGGCGGAAACGAAAATAATTTCGAGAGCGAACAGGACTGTCTCAACAGGTGCCAGACCGCACTTACCACCCCCGCGCCACGCCAGGTCGCTGAATTTAGACCAGGTACGACGGAAGATTTCAAAATAACTTACGTTGGATTTTTTCGGCTCGAGTTGTTCACACTTGCTGTTCCATTCGTGTAATTTCTTACGTTACTATTGGGTTGGCAACTAAGTAATTGCCGATTTGTTCAATGAAATCAACAATTTTTTTTTTCTTGGAATGAAGTTTAATCTGTAATGTATTTTCCATTTTGTTCGACGACCTTTCGCCATCTCTCTGACAACTTGAAAATTCCACGCTCGTAGAAAGTCTGATCCTTTTCGGCCAAAAACTGAGTTAAGTGAGATTTTACAGCGTCATCATCGTTAAAAGTTTTACCACGAAGGGAGTTGTCCAGGGATCGAAATAAGTGGTAATCCGATGGTGCGAGATCAGGGCTTTATGGTGGGTGTAACATCAATTCCCAACCAATATCCATCAATTTTTGCCGAGTGGACAAAGACGTGTGCAGCCTAGCATTGTCCTGCTGGAAAATGACACCTTTACGATTGACCAATTCTGGTCGCTTTTCCTTGACCGCTGCGTTCAATTTGTCCAGTTGCTAACATTCACGGATAATAAAAA